AACACTGTATATGAAATGTGCTATATAAATAAACACATAAACATTAAAGACAGTGTTCACCCAGAAATGATCAATCTATCATCATTTACTGTGTTGTTCAAACCTGTATGACTTTATATAAACACACAAAAAATATATTTTGAAGGAACCAAACACTGAATTTCATTATATGCACAAAAAATGCTGAGATATTTCTTAAAATACCTTTGTTTGTGTTCCAATGACCAGGTTTAAACAACATCACTGAAGACAGAATTATCATTTCTGGATGAAACTCTTCCTTTAATCTATTTACAGCATTAGTGGCATAACTATGGTTGATTTGTACAGAGTAATAAATAGGAAAATAAATTAATCAATCATGAAACCAATTCAATTTCTTCTATAAAGCAGCTTTACAGAAGACAACAGTGTGAATTCAGATCAATGACAGTCATTATGAAACAAAAAATCTGAAAATAATTGAGAAATTTTAGAAATATTGGATGCACGGTATTCATTCAGCATTTAATGTGTCTTTTGCTTCTGTGGTTCGGTATTTAATGTTTTGAATGTAAATCCAAAAAAAGTACAGTATCTGTGGTTATGGACACATTATGGTTTAGATTTACATTCATGCATTTGGCAGATGCTTTTATTCAAAGCGTTTTGCATTGCATTCAAGTATACATGTACTTGTTCGATTAGAGGTTTAAACTTCGGTCAGTTTTGTTCGATTAAGATATATATATATACATCAAGTATACATTTTTTGTCAATCCTTATTTTCTCTGGGGATCGAACCTGTGACCTTTGCGTTGCGAGCGCCGTGATTTGAGCTAAAGAAAGGCTGTAGATGGAGTTCATGGCATGATGGTCTGTTGTGGTTCCTCATGCCTCTGATGGACGAAATGCACATGATTTTGACTCAGATGAGCAGAAGCACAGAGATCTCAGTGTGTAACACACTGCTGGTGTGTGTGTGTGTGTGTGTGTGTTTTTGCGTGTGCGTGTGTGCATGCGTGCGAGTGTGTGTGTGTGTGCATGTGTGTGCGTGTGTGTGTGTGTGTGTGTGAGTGCATGCATGTGTGTGCAGGACGTGCCGCTGGCGTCTGGCTCTCAGGAGAACTACGTCCTGCTGCTGGTGCTGCTGTGTGTGTTCGCCGGCGGGACGCTGGTCCTCCTGTCCATCCTGCTGGTCTTCTGCCACCGCTGCTGTCGAGGAGAGCGACGCTACTCCAGGTGAGGAACATTCTCTCCTCCAGACCTCCGGAAACAGCCTTCATTCATTCAGAAGCGATTCGCTCTCGACCTGCTGGAACAGAATCATTAAGACTTGTGTTCACTGGAAACACTGGAGTTGACAAACCTCTTCATCACCACATATGGACCACAAATTGAGATTTATGCATCATCTGAAATCTGAATAAGCTTTCCATTGATGTACGGTTTGTGAGGATAGCACAATATTTGAAAATCTGGAA